TTGGGTGCTGCTGGTTCTGGCTGTGTTCTGGTTAGCAGGAGATCATCATGCAGCTTACTTTGTCTCAGTGAAGCTGAGTAAACAGAACACTGCTTATACTGTAGTTTTGATGGCAGGCAGCATTAGTACTCAAATACAACTCAACATTAGAACTGAACAACTCAAACTCTTAAGTTACATACTGTATGGGTTTTTTTAATTGGTTTGATGACCTTACTAAGGGCAGAGAAAACAGCCTTGCTCTGAAAACATTTAGAAAGTATTTTGAAACCCCTTTTGCTTTCCTCTTCAATAATTGTAGCTTGAGGGGCTAGCTTTGTTTTTAATAAACAAATATTTCTCCATTGAGGTTTTTCTCCTTAGCAGATTTAGCTAGCTGAGGAAGTTACTAGTCAAAGTTTTCCCTCCCTCAGGGTAAGCTTTTTTAATTTCATTTGAGACAATAGGGAAATATGTAAACAGTTGGTCATTGGCATGTATCTATTTAAATAAATTAGAAAACGAACATAAGTTTAGTTAAGATAAAGGGCATAGGAAGTGAAGCTCAAAACGTGTGTTAAAAAATGTTTGGAGTTTTGAGTTTCTTAAATACTGACTGATAGAAACAATTCAGCTTCCTTTAAGCTTTTGTAATACAGGTGGAACTTGTGGAATAAGATGCACTTTACTCTTTGTGGGTTTGGACTCACACCAAAACCTTCAAGCTAACTTCATGTTCTCCTGATTAATAAAAGGAAATAATACACTGAAATGTCACATCTTGAAAGCTTTAACTTCCATTTTCAAAGTAAGCTGTGGGAAATGAAGATGCCATGGCAGTGACTTCCTCCTCTTTCCTGGGTCCTGCGCTTCCAGGAGCTTTTTTCACTCTTGCATCTCTCTGTGCAGATGATATGTTTTGGTGGAGAGCACATGTACATCTGACTGCACATGCGTGTTTTCCTTTTCCTCTTTCCCCTCATTCTTTCCTCGTTGCTCCTAGAGAGATGTTTGGCAAAGGTAGCCTTCGGCAGAATGAGGTGCTCCAATTGTTAAGGGGCAAAGATGACAACAGCCTTTTCCCAAATGAAAGGTGATTAAAATTGGGCTGGGAGGCAAAGATTCATTTGAAACAGACAGAATTTGCTGTGCAGACTGGCCTGTGTGCTTCACCTGGAGTAGCTTTGATTCCCTAAAGGAGGGTGGACTAGAGAGGAAGAGAAGGAGGTGCTGCTGTGCTTCAAGCCAAACAGAGCAACTTTTCACATCAAGTTGCTTTTCACTGCACTGAGCTTTGCTAATTTACTAAATAGCAGAAATCTTACTTCCTTCTGTTTTTCTTGTTTTCAGAGGAAGCCCATCAGTGTGGAAAAGGTCTCCTCATTCACTGCCAGGCCGGAGTGTCCCGATCTGCCACCATAGTTATTGCGTACTTGATGAAGCATACGCGCATGACCATGACGGATGCCTATAAATTTGTAAAAGGCAAACGACCAATCATTTCCCCTAACCTTAACTTTATGGGGCAGTTACTGGAGTTTGAGGAAGACCTAAACAATGGCGTCACACCGCGAATCCTCACACCGAAGCTGATCGGTGTAGAAACTGTTGTGTGACGGTGAAGCTGCAAAGAGGTGGTCAATGAAGGGGTTAACCTGTTCTTCACCTGATTTAGGGCAGTGAGGGGTGGGCTGTGGGGTTTTTTTGTTTGTTTGTTTTTTTAGCTTTTGGGTGGGGAGGGGGTTGCAGCAAACTTTTTGTGAATAAAAACCTTTTTTTGTAAGGAAAGGTTTTTAAAAGAGATCCAAGAACTTGGCCATGTTTGGGATGCGGTTGTGATTTCGTTCCCGGGCACCGATAGAGCAGAGAAGCTTTGGAGCAAAAGGAGTACTTTTTAAAATCCAAAAGCCAAGAAGAAATATTGGGCTTTTTGTTGTTGTTGTTTTTTGTTGGTTGGTTGGTTTTTTCCTCCTCCTCCTCTCCAGCTACTCGTAGAGTTTATGGCTAAGTAGTCTGTGCAGGTTCATAGACTGAAGAAACCTAAGTTGAAGACAAAACACAAACAGCCAAAACAAAGCAGAAAAAACTTGCTGAAGCATGAGGGCCTTCGTTCTGCAAAGGCGTTGCTACAGATCACCTAGCAAATCGCTCACTGACGCAAAGGAGATCAGAGCAGCTTAAAAAGTCTGCAGGCACTTTTCACACTCCTGACTCAAACTAAAGAAGAAAAAAAAGGTTTATTTGGTGTGTTTCATGTTCCAGTTCTATTTTTCTATTTTGGGGTGTAAGGTTTTAACAGAAAGGGACTTTGATCATTCTATGCCATATGCCTTCACTGGCTTCTTGTGCAATAATAATTTGGGATTTGTTTTGAGTATTCAATCCAATTAGAGTTGGCTGCCCACTAATAATAAGATAATTTTTAAAGTCTAATAGTGCAATGGCAGCTGGCTTGGTTCAGAAGGGATAAGTGAAAGCAATTATTTTGTTCCTTTATATGATTTTGATCCTAGTTACAGTGCCATAAACCTTGTTACATATGTATATCAGAATGTACAAAAATCGAGAACGAGCAAAGTTTATTTAAAAATATTTTTCGCACAAAATATTGGTGTGTTTCAGTTGTCTATGTAAAAGAAATTTGATTATAAAAGCAAAAAATCCTTTGGGAAATGTGTGTCCTTTTATTTCTTTAGCAGTTTTTCATTTGCTTTCTGTCAGATGGGCTTTTGGTTGTGCTTGATTTTTTTTGGGTGGGGGTGTTTTTGTTTGCCTTTTCTTTTGCAGCATACAATGCCCATTGACAAAGCTGATACCTTTTGTTTGACATCTCTTCTTCAGTGTCTTGTTCCTGTCCTCTGCTGGTGGAATGTGTTTTCTTTATTTCTTGCTGTACTCTTGCATCCCTTGCTTTCAGTAGCCGTGTTTTTATCTCCTGGAAATACATCAAACTTGGAGCTGTTCAGATGAATTTGCATGACCGGGGTGGGCTTTTTGGGACAGACCTACAGCTCAACAGTTATTTAAAAAAAAAAGAAATAAACATTTTCCAATGATTTCTTTTCATCTTCCTGCAATTAGCTTACCTTCTGTGTTTCAGAACTAGTTTCTAGAGAGAGATGAGTGTCCTTCTATTTGTTTGGTTTGCTTTTTTTTTCCCCTGGCCTCTCCAAAGCCTGCTCCTTTAGCAGTTCCATGATCACTGGTCCTGCTGGAATTTTTCCTTCTCTTTGCCCACTTTTCTTTTATCCTTTCCCTTTTCCAGTTGTGTCACTGTTAAGTGTGGTGTGTATTGCAAGGCTTCTGCCCAGCAATGTCCCTTAGGTGGCTGACTTCTTTTGCTTTCTTTGTTTGTATTTTTTTTTTTCTTCAAATTAATGGTATGGTATAAACTGATCTCCTCCAGACTGTTACCAACTTAAAATTTCTTTGAGCCTAAAATGAGTTATAAAACATTTCTCGTACGATTCTGTTGTGCAAGCTGATATATCCCAGGAAGCCTCGTAGCTGTGAAGGTTTTTCCTAGGTGAAAACCAGTGTGGACTGAACCAAGATTAAAACAGGACCTGTCAGAAAACTTATGTATAATCACATTAGACATGTATATTTTTGTGGACATTTTACTTAAAATGTTGTTACTATACCGATATTTTCTTGAAACGTATCCCTTTATTAAATTATTTTTCTACTGGAACTGATTTTTTTTTCTTTCCTATGGTTGGTCCCTTCAGTGAGATGCTCTTGGCAGGGAGCATTACCCAGACTTCAGGCTCCAACTGCTGTGGGTTGAGGACAGCATGCTGCAGTGGGAAAAGACATCCCTCCCTAAAGATGGGCTTTCTTTGCCCTTGGGCTCAGCCTTTTTCAGCTGTTCTGCGTGAACTGCAGATGGCTGCACCTGGGTCAAGTTGTTAGTGGGCAGAGAGGAGGTTAAAAAAGCTCTTTGCTGCTTGCAGATCTGTGATTCAGAGGAAGGGAAAGAGCAGCAGGGCTGGCTGAGATTGTAGCAGCCTGCGTTACTGACAGTATGGATCTGCATGATAATGCTGGAGATCTACAGAGCAGGTGGAGTACACAACCTAGGACATGGCAGTCTTAAGCCTAAGGGGAGCAAAGGAAGACTAAATTCAAGACAAGACTTCAAGGCCCTTTGTTACTGGTTTGCTGGTGCCTTGCTCCTGCCCTCCATTTCCTTTGGGGAGAAAACAAGTCTGAGGTCCCTGTCCCACCCACTTGGCAGGTACAGCCTGGGAGTGCTTCAAGATGGAACAGTCATGGAGGCAGCATCTTGTATGGTCACAAGGTCTGCCAGCCAGTGGTTGTGGGAAGGTTTAAAGCACTCCCAGGAGCCGAGGGGGCTGAGGCAAGAGCTGTGAGGGGTATAGGGAGGCACCCGGCAGGCTGGGAGCACACAGGACTCAAGGCCTGACTGGCTGCAGCAGGGCTGGCTCTGGGCTACGTGCTCCCAGCAGGCTTCTCCCGAGGAAAGGGAGATTCAGTGGGGAGAACAGAAATATACTATCTCTTGGCAGAGTTAAGGAGGTGATTAAAGATTATGAGTGGCTGATGGCTGGCTCATTAGCAGGTGTCTATTTTCATGTGGCCTGTTTGCCCTCCTGCAAGTACACAGGTGTTGACCAACATCAGGTTTACAACAGTGGGAGCACAGCCTGACATCGGGAGCTGATGGGAGAGTGGGGGATTGCACAGAGCACGTCTGGGCATTCTGCTGGCAGTGGAAGAAGCCGGCACAAGCCATGCTGTGGTCTCATGCCACTAGACCCCACGTCCTCCTGCTGGTGAGGGCAATGTTGGTCAGCCTGCTCAGCTGAGCACCACACCTGCTGAGGGGCTGCCTTTCTCTTAACAGCCCCTGCATGTCTTCAGGCACCCTGAAGGGGTCCTGGTTTGATTTGATGATTGTCCAGGCAGCACTTCTCTCCAAAAGGCCAGAGACTAAAGTCTGCAGCAATCCCTGCTTAGAGCTATTCTGTTACTGGGCAAGGGATGTTGTGAGGTAAAGCAATTACACATCACAAGCACCTGCTGAGCAGCGTGCAGGTCTCTTCAACTCATGTTCTCTAGGGTGGGGAGGCCTAGCAGGTGTGTAATGAGCTGCAGCTGAGCCTAATCAGTGTGAGATGCAGAAAACCTGCTGGTGAGTCAGCACTGATCTTTTTGTGCCTTTGTGGAGACAGTGTGCTGGAGTCTACAGAAATACAGCATGTCTTAGGAAGTCTGAGCTTGTGTCGAGTTTTGTTGGACCTAGTCGGGCTCAAGCCCATCATCAGGAGTTGCTCTACTCTTTGTTGCGTTTCCAGGCAAGCAGCGTTGGATTGTTGCAGTGAATTCCTGCCTTAAGATTGGCTTCATCTCAAGGACAAGAGAAGACGACCTCAAGGTTGGTGCCTGGGGATAACTGCTGCTGTATCTCTGATAGGGAGTGTTTGGTACAGCAAGAAATACTTAAGAGAACTAATATTAATTAGGGAGTAAATTAAAACACTGTAACACAAACTACATCTACTAGTTGAAGGCACTAAGCTAGAGGTTAAATGTAATTTGACTCATGTACTTTGACTTCACATTTCTTGCTGTACCCTACCTCTTTTGATTGTCTATATATAAGATGTGATGTAAGAGAGCATGGGTTTATCCTGAAGATTTATTTGTGGTGGAGAGGTGAAGGAGCTGTCTGGCACTTGAGGTTTTTGTATCGGGTTGCGCTTTTGGCACACAGTGGAGCGTTTGGAAAAGATCACATCATAGAGTGCAGTGGTCAGCTGCTGTAAGGATGGACAGAGGTTGTGTGTGATGCAAGGGCTCTGAGTAGAGAGCCACTGGGTTTGGAAGGTCTTGCTGTACTACAAGGCATGCTTAGGTGTAGAGCTATAGTAGAAGCTGCCATGAGAACGTGTTGTGATCACTGGTAAAATTCATTGAGGTGATGGAAGAGGACACTGGAATGAAAAATGGTGAGGTATTGGCAGACTGACTGAGGAATTATCTAAAGGTGTTTGTTTTTAAAGGTCTATCCAACAGTCTTGTACAGAGCTTTGGCCTGGTAGCAATTATCTGGGAGCTCTTTTTAATGCATGCAGGTCAAGTGTAGAGTTGTGCATGTGCCTCAGATTGCTTGGCCCTGTCTCCTAATACTCTGACATCCGAGGCCATTTTGTAATGATTGGCTTTCATTGGGAGTTAGGAAGGTGCTGAGGAATGTTCTGCCTGTGCTGTTCTTTAGCTGCTCTGGGCTGGGGTCCCTGATGTAGCCAGTGGGAATTTGCAAGCAGCAGACGAGCTGCTACTAGCTGAATCAGCTGAGCTCCTACCTGTGTAGAGCTACTAAAAATCTCAGAAAGCTTACAATGAGAGCTCAGTTGTTCCTATGCATTTTTTGTCTGTTGCAAATATATAGCCTTTCTAGTCTAGACAGATGCAATGATTACGCCTTTGTATAAAGCACGGTATGGCTGCAATACATGGCATTAGGATTCTTCAGGAGCTCTTCTCTGACCTTAAGGTTTGCTTGTGTGTGTAAATTACCCTGTGGAAGCAGAAGGTGAGTACCCAACCTTTATGGAGGTGGTGTTCCCCTTGTTTTGTGGGTCAGAGATATGTTTAGTCACAGAGCAGAGTGAGGAACAGAGAGCCAAGGACCCAAGGCTTCTCTTGCTTTACTGATGCTACTAATCTGTTTCTTAAAACTTCCACTGTTTGCTGAAAAGTGTTTCAGTTGGCTGAAATTTTGCTAGCTGAGCTCCTCTTTGGAGTTAGGCAAACTTGGTCCTCAATGTACCTGTCTCTCCTGTATGCACTGAACAATTTTTGAGCCAATTACGTGACACAGAAGTCTTAGTAGTGCCTTTTTCTAAACTGCCTTTGCTGCTGTGTGAGCACCTGCAAATGGCCCTTTCACCTTAGTTCTAGGCACAGTGCAGTATGTGCCAACAGCATTGCTGCTAGTTTGCCATCCTATGTTTAATGTAGCTGCAATTACGCAGAGATACATAAGGAGAAGGTGTTGATAAGCAGCCCAAGTTCTCAGCAGAGAAATGGCACCAGAATAGCTGTGGTGTTGTTTCTAATTGCAACGGATGAGCAGCCTGGCTCATTAATCCTCCCTATCAGCAGCACATAGCTCGTCTGCACCAGAATAGCCCTGATCTCAGCAAACCTACATCCTGCCCCGGGCTCCTGTTTTTGACGTATTTGGACAAGATGAGATCTAGCACTGCCTGGCAGGGACTCTGTTTGGCTGGACTGCCTTGGACAGCGGGGATGACCCAGGACTTGCAATGCTGTGTGCTTTAGGAGATGTCTGGGGTGCAGACCCGACAGGTGCTGGCAGGGCTTTGCTGTGCAAAGAGTCTGTGCTGTGTTGTTCTTTTCTCTCTTTAGCTTTCTTCTTGGGCACCTGCACAAAGTGTTTCTGGAGGCTACAGCTAGCACTGCTAATGAGCAAAACCTGTTTTCTTGCTGTCCTCAGTGACTCCAGTTAAAGCTGTGTTTGCAGAAATTTTCTCTCAGGAGACAGTACAAACTTCTGAAAACCCTTAGCAGCACTCAGTACCTCTGCTGTCTCCCCAGATCCTTGTGGCAGGAGAAAGGCTGGGTCACCTGGTGGTGGGTTCTATGTGATGGAGGGAAGCTGTTCAAGGACAGGGACTGCGGAGACGGGGCCAATACAGGTGCATAGTACTGATGTTTTGACTGCTAAATGATAATTCTGTCTAAATCACTACATATTGTGCAGGCAGATTGGTTTCTGGGACAGGCTGATGCCTGCTGAAGGCTTAGAATATTTTTGTCTGTTTTCTTCATTTTAATTGCATATATCTATTGGCTTTGAATGCTGAGGAAGACAGCAGCATCCTCTATTACACCCAACTGGGTGGGGATGAGCCAGCTGCAGCTCAGTGTGGGCTTCTGTAGAGCCAGGCCTTTTCCCACCAATACCTTGGGAAGAGCTGTTTCTGGCAAGCCAGGCTCTTACATCCCTCTCAGCTGTGTTCCCAGGGTGACTGGACTGGATTCGGCTTGATAAGCTGCTGGGGAATTAAGTAAATAAGCTCCTGCTACCTTTGCCTTGCTTTTGCTAAGATGACTGCATTGTACGTGAGGAAGTAGAGGAATCATGACATACTGTAATCTGTCAGAGCTAGGGTCATGTATGGGGAAACTGGGCAAAAGGACTTCTGGATTACTGTGAGATCCAAAACATATTCTATAGAAATTTACCTTCTTCAGCCTCTCTTGTTCTATCTATTTGGCTGAAAGGTGCTTTAGGAGCATTGCAGGCATGTGTCCTGCAACCACAGAATAACGATGTTCTACCTGTTAAAATTCTCCTTTCAACTTCAGCTGGAGATGATACTCCTCTTTGCTTCCTTTTTGCCTCAAAGGTGAAACAACTTAAATGCTTCTAATGATTGGAGGGTGGAGAGCTGCTGAGAAGCAGGAGAAATGCATAGGGAAAACTGGATGCAGAAGTGAGGAAATAACTCCCTTGGGCTTGGCTATGATGCAGGGCCTCTGCTGTGTGGTGGGATGTCAGGAATTGAAAGTTGGGCTTCTTGGGATGAGCTGCTAGCCAGGGAAAGAAAAGGGTGGTGTGAGACAGATACAGCCAAATGATCATCTTTCTTCACACACAGTTTTGATATCATTGGCCTGTTTCAGAGTGACTCAGACAGAAAGTTCCTACATAGCTAAAATTCTGCTCCTGTCCCTGAGCAGTGGAGAGAGCTGGGTGGCTAAAGATCAATGGAGAGGCCTGAAATAAGCTGGTGTGCAGATGCTCACCTTGGGTGGGGGGGGGGGGGGGGGGGGGGGGGGGTTTGAAATCAGTGTTCTGAAACACAGCTGCCTCTCACTGTCCTGCTGGTAGAGCTGAGGAAAAAATAATGAAATCTCTTAAGTCCTAGAGCTGATATGATACATACAGAGAGCTCTGGAGGTGTTTTATGTGCATCCAAGGGTTTGAGATCCTCCTGAAGCTTTCATCTTGCCAGTAGGGACCAAAGTTGTTACTGTTGGTCAGGCAGTTGGGTCCAGTAGGCATCCCAGTACTGGACTTCCAACCCAGTCTGTGGCTTTGCCCACCTGGAAACTTTCTATACTTCCCTGCAAATCTTTTGCCACGAAGGTTTGGTTCTGTTGCCTCAAGGAGGGGCCATGGGCACTTCATTATCCTGCTGACTTCATCAGTCTCGTTGCATTCTCAGTGCACTCATGAGAAAGCTCAGGTTTCAGTTCCTCGCAACTTTGCTGAACTTCAGCTATTTTGGACTAAAATTTTCCATGCCAGGTGGGTGTCAAGGCTAAGTACCCCTTTGTGTTCAGCTGAGGCTGATTGACTCTATTTTCCTTCTGTTTGTAGATAATTCTCTTTTAACTCCATCTGATGAATAATTTTGGAATAATGTTTCAATTTTTTTCCCATTTCTTTAGGAAAATGATAATCACTACTTTTTTTTTAGGAAAATATTCATTTCATTAGCAGTAAGGGAATTGCTGAAATACATGATTCTAATAAAGTTTTGTATAGAAAATAACTGAAAAGCCCTTTTGATAAGGTCAGAGTACTTCACTTTGACCTTTTCAGCAGTGAAACCTTTCAGTTCTTCATTCCAAGAAAGGACTTGATGTTCTGGATATGTATCTAAAATGAAATAAAGGTGCTGTTGGAGAGAAACACTTCAGCTTTGCGAGTTGACCATTTTTGATGTGGCTTGATGCTGGCGGTTTTTGAAAGGAAGATGTTTCTTCCAATGGGTAGCATCAGTATCTCCTGGTGGGTAATACTCTCAGATAGCAACTATTGCAAACTGAGTGGAAGGACGAGCTTTGCACAACTGTCTTGTTTTACAGATGTCTAAGTGGTTGAAGTCAGCTCAGGGAAGGATCTGGCCCAGTCTAACTTTGGTAGCAAGGAGCCACCTGTGCCCTGTTGGAGGAGCTTGTCTTTGGGCAGCTGGCTCTGCAGCAGGGGTGGTAGTTACAAGAAGCCTGCACTCTTGTGAGAGGGAAATGTCTGTGCTTATAGCTGACAGTGCTTGCAAGACTGCTCTCACTGTACCTGGAGGGTAGATGTTGACAACAGCTTTGCTCCACTAAGACTACATGTCTGCAAAGAGACCAAATGGATGTGTGTCCCTGGCTTGGGTCTAAGTGAGACCTCCAGAAATACTGACATATGCTTTGGTATTGACTCCTGGCGTATCTTTTGGCTGCATCTGAAGGTACAGCTCAGCTGGGTCCCTGGAGCTCATCAGCTCCAAGCCAACACCAAAAACATACCTTGCTTCCAAGGGCAATTTTGTGGCTGTAGCAATGCTTTGTTCCTGCTCTGAGGGCCATGAGCTCCTCCAGTGCCTTTCCTCCAGCTTCAGTGTGTTG